CAGTGTGTGGGTTCCGACCCGACATGCTCGACGGATATGTCAGGTCGGATGCTCGGTCCGGTAGCACCACCCGACTCGAGCCGTCCGTCTGACATGTTGGTCCCTGGACCGTGTGTGGGAAAAAGTCACTACAGAAACTAGCCACAGTTTCCAGTTAACTTGTATTTAGCGAGTTGTGCATGATAACCGTACCATTTTTAAGTAATGTCATTTAATAATAATAAACAGTTATGGTCAGAATTTATTTAATTCTACAGAGACCAGAAGGCGTTGTGGGATGTCAAAAGTAAACTCTATTGCAACAAACATGCACATAGGGGCACGATATCCTGATGGAAAAGTGCAAGGAACTGTATCCAGAATGTGATTTAAAGTTCGTTAAAAATAAAATTGAAAATTTAAGATCTTGGTTCGATAGGCTCTAAAAATCCATAAAATCATCGCTAAAAATCCCCCTGAAACAGCTAACAGTCGTCTCAAAATCCATCTCAGAACTAATATTTCACCTGACTTGTTGGGTAACATGCTCGATAGTGTGTGGGAAACACCCGACATAAGTCAGGTTGGATGATGGGTCCGTCGTCAGGTCAGGTTGTCAGGTCGGGTGGCATGTTCGATAGTGTATGGGGGGCTTGCGAACCCTAGCTCATGTAGCTTTGGAATATCATCAGGTACCACTAGAGTACTCTGTAGCACTACCTGTGAAAGGTTTATGAAGTACTGGTCCCTTTGAGGGACATTGCAGAGGCGCAGTTTCGGGGTCTACCTATATTGTTAAGGTTCCGTTTTAGTGCACTCTTTTGCATTCGGGTTGGATATCAAGAAGCAGCTCCGAACTTGGAAAAAGATACGTGTAAATAGCACCAGTGTAATTTATCACACCTCTTTTAAGAACATAAAAGTAAATAATAAAATAAGTAAACAAACAATTTAAACAAACAAACTATTGTCAATTACATTGACTAGCCGTTGTTCACTAAATTAATCTAATAACGTTAACCTCTAAAACGTGTAAGCTTAGCCCTTTGTAAATCGGCCTGTGGGGCTGAGCCATAAGAGAATTCGTTCATACTAATACTTTTCGGCAAATCTACACACTCTGAGCTTCATTTTGATGTGCCATATGCCTATAATTTTATTTGGTTAGTGGTCTTAACCATTTAAATAAAATTTGATTGAACCACTTTAATAACATAATAGACATGTAAATTAAAAGACATTTTTGTACTAAGAAACATTTTATTGCTTTGTTAAATTTCTGTATTTTTACAAAAAAAAACTTTTAGACCAACGCCTATACTACTGTTTTGCAAAATTGTGCTCAATGAGTGCTCAGATTTAGTAATACAATGAACAAACAAATTTGTTATAAGGATGTAAATTTGACAACCTTTATGAAGCTACGTCCATAAACAACCATGATTCATTAATTAGTTTACTCTCTTAATGCTATCAAGGGAATAAACGTGCTGTTTTAGCACGTTGATTGTCTCAGTAGACAATAGGCGTTTAACGATAATGCGGAATACAGTATACTACTTTTTTCTCAAACTTAATTGAATATTTCAAAAACATTTTTTCATATATAAAATTTTAGTTATAAGGCCCGAAACTCAGATTTGGAGTACAAACCCCACATCAACAAAGTTCTCTTTCACGTTTGAATTGGTCTAACATACACATATTACATATATATTCGTGTACACTTGTACTTAAAATTTCATGTAAAGCATTTACAAGAGTTATCGTACACAGAAGTACCACATACACTTACAAGCCTTTAAATGCATAGTATTTATAAATATCCTCAATTTTGGTAGACGAGTCCATGTCCCAATGTGGCCGGGCCATTACCATACAATCCCACACCGCTGCAGTACTGATCCATCATATGACCATTGACCGAGATACTGAAAGCTCTCCGACTATAGACCTATAAATTATTTCCCTTTGTATTGTGTTTTGATGCCTTCTTTATGGAATAATATAATAGCTACGTTATATATGGAGCCGGGGGTAACTCTAGCGATTTTACTGTTAACACCACAACATTACTCCTTGACAACATTTCTATTTCTATGTTGGAGTAATATTTAAGCAGTTTTAGGAATCATATTATCAAGTGCTGTACACGATAATATGCAATTGGTTCATGCAGCACACTTCGATCAACCCGACACCCAGTTAAAGAATAAATTGAAATTATGTCCATTTTTTATATGGCTTAAAATATTGCAAACTACCTTGGAAACTTTTCAAATACAAATAAACACCCCGGCCGCAGTAAACCTAAACTAAGCGAATATCTATTCGTCGGGCTGTATTTTCACTATATCTCCTTAAAAATTTAATTTTTCCTACAGTTACCTAACAATGTACATGTTCTCTCACTGATTTGATAAAGTAATGTGGCCAATTCGCTCATCAGTGAGACAATGTTAACAATGTCTCACTCTAATTACTTTGTCTCACTCACTCCAGATTTGCAACATGAAGCACAGAAAACACAGAATGCCAACCGCGTGGTAAAAAGCATGTTTTGAGAGAGCTTTGCCTGTCGTCAATCGTAGGCAGCGCCGCCAGCGTTGCCATGCACTCAGCATAGCGATAGCAACGCTGGTGGCGCTGCCTACGATTGACAGGCAAAGCTCTCTCAAAACACTTAATGCTTTTTACCATGCGGTTGGCATTCTGGGTTATAGTAGTATAGTATGTTTAGTATAGTATGTTTTCTGTGCGTGAAGGCACGAAATCGTGAGCGCGTAACATGCAGACAAGGTCGTATGCGCGCGAAATACGTTGGCAGCACTGGCTGTAAGCCGTTCAGCTGTTGTACTGTTGTATTTGTCACTTCACTTTAAATGTCATATTAAAAGTTCACTTCTGTGTAAAAATATGTTACGTATCTTTACCAATTTATTTGTTTTATGGTAACTGTAGGAAAAATATAATGTGCAACTCGAGTGCAAAGTGCAATTGCCTAAGGAACCATTCCTAAGGAATCTCTCGAGGATTTTGTAAGGTAAGGATTTCTCTCGAGTGAGGCAATTGCTAACTTTGCTCACTAGTTGCACAAATAACTATTTCCTTGTCAATGCATTGCTTTAGTTCAGCTTTAGACTCTTTACTGATTACCTTAAGACTTTAATTTTTACTTAATGTAAATAAAATTTAAAATTCTTTAATCTGCCTTTTTTGCATATTATTTCTTCAGTAATCCAATTACTTTTTTTTTAAACAATTTATCGCTGTTAAAGTTTCAGGGAAAAATAAATTAAAAAAATATATTATAAAAAACATCATATTTATCTATAGGCGCCTGATAGACTTCTAACCAAGTTTCTGTCAATAACTCTTTCTCAAAAAAATCATAATTATTTGTTGAAAATTTCCTTATTAGTTTTTTTGTAATTTTTTACTGCTTTTATTTGAGCATGAAACTTCAAAGAGTTGAGCTTCATAGTCCGAAATACAAGTTACAATACCTGTAATTTTACAATTCCTAACTCTTTCTGAAAAAATTATAATTATTTGTAGAAATTTACCTTATTAGTTTTGTTGTTATTTTTTATCAATAGCACTCTGTGAATTTAACTTGAAATCTGTCCTTGTTGGAAAATTTACCCAGTATGACAAATTGTATATTTTAAAAATATAAACAAAATCATTGTATGTTCTATATTTATTTAACACATTTATGATAAAATCCCCTGCTAAAATTACATTTGAAAAAACGTTTACTTAGAATACTAAACAAAATTTCACAATTTTTACAGAAAATGTTTAATCAAACATTTTTTGGGATATCTATATATACATGCTATTACACAATTTAAATCAGCGAAAGATACCTCAGAAAGACAACACTCAAATCCTTTCTCTGCTAATAAAGATTCAACAGCAGGTATGAGGATTTTTTACTCTTAATGTTATCTTTTGCCAAGTAAATATACATAAATATCCTTTTGGTGGTCGTGCAATCCTAGCAGGAAGTTTCATTTTATGGTTTTGCAATTTTTGAGTGTCCCCCCCAAAAGGGGGGATTTTGGGGGCAACACAAAAGTTGTAAATGTAAACCCCCTTCAAGTGACACTTCGTTTTGAAGTGTTTACAAACACTTAAATAATGACGAAAACCAAAGTTCGCTATCTCTTCTCTATTCAAAATGGTAGCCCGGAAAAAGTTTAATGACGTTACTGTTACATTAATTTTCTTGTGTAATAAAAAGTAAAACGCTCAAAAATTTCAAAATCAGAATATGAAACTTCATGCTAAGATTGCACGACCACCAAAAGGATATTTCTGTATATTTACTTAGAAAAATATTAGAGGGGGGGGGGGTCTTGACTTTTTATTCACCTTGTAGATCTAGCAAAATATGGACATACTTTGTAATCTGGATACTAAACACTGATATTTCTGGTTCTGTCATTTTGTGTTCAGATATTGCCAAAACAGTAGGTTGGATTTCTGCGAGATTGATTTTTAAGAAGTCTAATCTGGATGATAGGTACAGTACATTTTGGTAAAGTAATGAACATTTTATCAGAGTACTATTGCTAGAGTTTACGGTAGATTTATGACATGTTAAGATTGAAACTGATCTATGTAGTTCTATGTATGTTATATTACTTAAAAAAACTAGTAGTCCTACTTGATATTTCCAATGAGGGGTCATCAAAACAAGTGTCGCTACCTTTTGAAAACAAATATACTACCGGCTATGATGATGTTTCAATTACTACTGTTAAAAACGTTCTTCCTGCTATTTAAAAACCTCTTCTACATATAGTAAAATCTTCTCTCATTTCAGGCATTTTTCCGAATTAACGCAAAATAGTAAAAATTATTCCAGTTTTCAAAAAAAGGGGAACCAAATGATGTTTCCTGTTACTAACAAATTTCACTGGTCCCAGTTTTTTCAAAAATCTTATAAAAAGTTGTGTTTATACAATTGATGGATTTTTAAAATCAAAATAACTTAATGGATTCAGAACAACATGGAGTTTCAAGCAGGTAAATCGACAGTCACTGCAGTTATTGAATTTATTGAAAGTATAATAAATGTAGTGGATAAGGGAGAAAAAGTAATTGGAATTTTTCTTGATTTAACAAGAGCATTTGATAGTCCGATACAGCTTATAGACACTTCAAAATTAGGTATTCATGACAAAGAATTAAATTGGTTTAGATCCTACCACTTATACTTAGGCAAAAATATGTTGAGATAGAACATTATAAATCAGATTTTTCAAGTAAATATAATTACATCCAAAAATGTAATTCACAGATACAGTCAGTCCGCCATGGAGTTCCGCAGGGGCAATGAATACAAACCACTATAGTGGTTTGTATTCATTGGCAGGGGTCGGTGTTGAAACTCCTCTCGTTCCTATGCAGGGGCGGGGCGGCCTGTCTGTATGCTGATGATACTAATATTACCATTAAGGGAAATTAAAAAAAAAGTATTGAACCATTATCATTAGTCAGTCTCTTTTCAAAATCGAAAGCAGTATGTTGGTGAGTTTCTCGCATTATATTACCGAGAGTAAACTCTTAGCCAATCATTGTTAATTTGGCTTATTCTTTGGTCAATCTTTGCGAGACCATCTAGTGTCAGGTTTGGTGAAAATTGTCTTTGGTTCGTTGGCTTTTAGCAAGAGAAGACAAGTTAACCTTTGAGGAAGCATGCACTAAATTTCCTTGTATTGCAATGCTTCGTGGAAGCTGTTAATCAATGAGATTAGTCATTACTCTGTGATTATATGTATGAAGATATTCTACACTATTGGTTTGTCTACAACAGGTATAGCTCATGTGAGTAACCGATTACACGGTGTCCGAACTCTGCCGCCGCAGTGCCCACTCGGCCGCGGAGCTAGCTACTCGCTCGATGCGCTTGCACTCACACAATCTGCCGGCAGGAAACATTCGGTCCTATAATTGCTTCCGTTATACTGTCATGTAAAATACCTGCCATCAAACAATACAAACTATTTGTCGATCGATCTGATTTCGTTCTCACACGATCAGAGTCCGGTTAAGACCACTCAAGTTGTTAGGAGTTAATGATAAAATTGCAGGAATGCGAACAGTTTATTCTCATGTGTTACATACAGTCAAAAATCAAATCTCTGTTGAATATGTGTGAAGTATTTTTTTTATGCAGTTGTACAAATCCATAACAAAGAATTACATAAAGAAATTTCTGAGTAGATTTTGGTTTTAGATTAACAATAATTTTGTTTCAACAGAGTTTAGTGATTTACTAAATAAATTTTTTTCAAGGGTAATCTTAATTAAATTTACAATTACATTTTACGATGCCTATAAATATAAATATTTCACAATTCGTAAAGGAGGAGAAGCTGACTGTCATTATAATGCTTCTCTTGCCATGGGCTCAACGCCAACATTCAGAAACCCTATTCCAACCTCTTTATTGGAATATTAGTTCTTGGGAGTGTTTGTGGATCCAAGATCGAAGCACAGATTACATATTAGACGGTTGTCATTGAACCGACCGTCCGTTGAAGTTTTATGACCGTCCCAAGATACTTGAAGGGTCAGTTTCGCAGGGTTGTACTTGAAAGACCACGCGGGTTTTGCCATGTAGCGAAAGGGGCTATGTAAGGGAACTTTTCGAAATATTTATCCCTCCAGTTATTTATCCCCAGTTATGTATCCCAGAGACCAGAGCAATTTGGACCGTTGACATCCCTCTGTCCTGTCTTGTTAGTTATCATCCTGGGTCCACGTTGTCCTTGCTGACTTTGACCGCTCGACTCGGTTAGTTCAGTCCTCAACTGGTATCGTCTCCTGGAGTGCTGGGCGGCTCACGGTGTCCAAATCGCAGCAGCTTCTCCAAACGGGATCGCCAGTCCCACTGTCGGACGCAGACTGTCCTCTCTACCATACGGCTCTCTTCTATAGTAGTGAAGGTGGGCCTCTGGCCTATATTATAAAGATGATGTATTAGTATAAGCTGTTAGATTTGTTTTGTTTGTTTGTTTAATTTTCCTTTAGTTAACCATTTTATTCTACCATTGATTTCTTAATTGTTTTCTTCCAAATCATTTAATTTGGTCATAACTCAGGTAGTACTGCAATTAATTAGATTTACTTGAAGAATTTTAGCATAATTTAGAACTTTTAGTGTTATATTGTGATAAGTAAATTGGAAGCATTGTTAGTTTTCACATAAAATTGCACTAACTTTAGTTTGTTGAAAACTAACACAACTAGATTTTTTAAACACTAACCTATATCATTAAACTTAATTTTTTAGGTTAGGGTTTTTAAAACCTTGGAAGGAGTAGATTTGTAACACTTAACACTCCATTACCACAATGAACTTGCAAAGTTATTTATACTGACATAAACATCTCTGAAGTATTTTTGTATGTTGACATTCAAATTGAATATAATATACGTAGTATGTTTATAAACAAATCTAGGAAGGAAACATAAGAAAAGAAATATCAAATAAAATCAAATCGAAATGTCTTTTATTTTGTAAAACATAAACATTTTTTAATGATATAAACATATCTTTCCTACTTACATTGGGTTCCTATATTAATGGCTACAGTTAGTTGCTCGCAATAGTCTCGAATCTTGACTCTTAAAGGGTATATAGTGTATAAAAGTGTACTAAGCCCTTAGTATATCAAAGTGGGAAACTGGAGGGATGAATATTTCGAAAAGTTCTATCGCTACCTGGCAGAACCCGCGTGGAGGTTCAAGTGTCTTACAACCCCGCAAAACTGGCCCTATAATCCACTCAAATAATCGCGGTGGTTCACTATTTGATAGATTTAAAATCGGTTTGCGGCAACTTGTTTGGATATGAAGGGCTACAGTAATTATGATCAATTTTGTAAATTTTCCCCTTAGGGGTAGCCCCCGTAGGGGGTAGCTCAAAATGTTCAAACAGCAAGTATAGTCGAGTTTGGTATCATTTTGTAGGTCTTGACGAACCATAACAATTAACATAAATAAAATAGAAATCGGAGCATTCATAACAAAATGGCAGCTAAAAATGATTGAGACAATGGTTATTTAAAGTAATTTTGAACTGCCATTTTGTTATTAATGGTCCGATTTCCATTTTTCTTTATGTTAATTGTTATGTTTCGTCAAGACCTACAAAATGATACCAAACTCGACTATACTTGCTCTTTGAAAAGTTTGAGCTACCCCCTACCCCCGCTACCCCTAAGGGCAAAATTTTCAAAATTGACCATATTTATTGTAGCCCTTCATATCTAAGAAGGTTGCCGCAAACAGATTTCAAATATCTCAAATGGTTGAAAAGCTAAGGGGGGGGGGGGTGCAAGTTACTTTTCAGCCACCCTGTATATTCATTAGTTTGTGTTATAGCGAGTTTTAGTTTCAAATGGTGAAATTCCCGAAATTTCCTCCCGTAATGGAAATGCGGAAATTTAAACATGTACAAATGTGCAGCTAGCGCTTTACAAATCACATCTAATTAGTACTGGAGCTAAAATGAATACCGTACTTGGAGCCGGTAAGCAGCACACACAGTTCTTGAGGGTGCCGTGGAATAGCGCAGAACTCGCTATTCATAAACGTTAATCTGTCAATAAAATCTTCATTTTTATAATGTGGAATACAGTAGTTTGAGAAAACCCCTCCAGACTTCCATAAAATATGCCTGATGCATATTCATACATTCATGTTTTATAAAGATCACCAGACGTCTAGTAAATGCTGCCAATGTTGCATTTTGCAATAGACGTCCAGTACCCGCTGCAGATGCTAAATTTTATAAAGATTATCAGACGTCTAGTACCTGCTGCTGATGCTGAATTTTATAAATATTATCAGACGTCTAGTACCTGCTGCTGATGCTGAATTTTATAAATATTATCAGACGTCTAGTACCTGCTGCTGATGCTGAATTTTATAAAGATTATCAGACGTCTAGTACCTGCTGCTGATGCTGAATTTTATAAAGATTATCAGACGTCTAGTACCTGCTGCTAATGCTGAATTTTATAAGGATTATCAGACGTCTAGTACCTGCTGCAGATGCTGAATTTTATAAAGATTATCAGACGTCTAGTACCTGCTGCAGATGCTGAATTTTATAAAGATTATCAGACGTCTAGTACCTGCTGCAGATGCTGAATTTTATAAAGATTATCAGACGTCTAGTACCTGCTGCAGATGCTGAATTTTATAAAGATTATCAGACGTCTAGTACCTGCTGCAGATGCTGAATTTTATAAAGATTATCAGACGTCTAGTACCTGCTGCTAATGCTGAATTTTATAAGGATTATCAGACGTCTAGTACCTGCTGCTGATGTTGCTGCTTTACAAAGACTTGCAGACTCCTAGTACCTATTCCTGATGCAACTGCTTTATAAAGATCTCTAGACGTCTAGTTCCTGCTGCTGATGCTGCTGCTCCATCAATTAATTACCCTAAGTGGTGGTTCGCGATAATGATCGGTTTAGACGATGCGTGGGTATCAGTACCGACGTGGGTTGAGCTCAGAGTCCCGTCGCGGTCGCTCCGCAACAATACCAACAAACCTACTGCCTACAGCATTCTACCGCTAGCCTACTTGATCAATTCACAATAGACAATGTATCATTTGTTTGATTATTATTCGTTATAAATTATTTAACAACACCCTCGGCAAGCCTAACACCATTATGACAATGTGTATGTGGCTTTGTCGAGTGCGATCTCTCTCGCACCAACGCTTTTCCCGTTTAACTTTCTGTTACTTTCCTAAAGAATCTCGTACGCGAGGAAATTGAATTATAAGTTTAGTCAAATAAGAGCTATGAACTGTTTTACTCATTTGGTTGCTAATACCGTAGCGGACACAGTAGCACAGTGGATGCAAGGACTGAGGTCTTCAGGGGTGGGTCCAGGAATATGTTTTTGGGTAGGCCTAACCAGGATCAAGAAGTAGGTAGTTTGATCTGTGGACGAGAGGTTTAATGGGCTTCCCCGCAAAAAGGGGTGACTTTTAAAATGTTAATGCAAAATAATGAGTTTTATTGATTTCCCTTTAAATAATGAGTTTTATTGATTACCCTTTAAATAAAATTTCTTTATAATTTTGAAATAACTACCAAATCTTTGGGTAAGCCCTGGCCTACCCTCTGGAGTCACCCGTTGCCCATGAGACTACTGTGACTTCTTCACTGTCTTTATACTGGTACCACTAGTCTATAGTGGCGGTGAAGAGAGAAATGTAATGATTTGGAAGTATGATAGGCTTTGGCTTTTGTTTTATTACAACTGGAAACAATTAAATCTGTTTATTGTTGATGCTCATTGTACTTAAATATTCTATTTGACTCCAAGAATTAATCTACCGTGATAAGGTCCGTGAAGTTAGCGTACCCTTATAGCGTATCCACCTTTGTCCATACCAATCGTTGGTTCTACGTTAGTTATCGATAGTTCCCCAATATTTTCGTTAGTTCAGGGGATACCTAAAAATTCTTTTATTCTATAACAAGCAATAAGTTGTATGTTTACAAGGCCCTTACACATTTTTAAGAATTAGAACATCTCAATTCTTAGTTTTTGAACTAATTTTGCCTCTTTCAGAGACAAATAATGTTAAACGTATCGAACTGTGGCCAACATTGCCGTTCACGTTAGTTTTAGAGGTTTTAGTAAGAAGAACAAATATATTTCTTTATCTGTCTGTCCTACAATATAATCAATACTGCATACTGCTGTCCTTTTTTCTTATCATTACAGATTATAAAGAGACACTCCTTTAGTCCAATGAATAATTATTATTCAGATTCACGAGACATATTAATAATTAGCTGGGTGGGTATAGCGAACGTCTAGAAATCAGCAGGTTGCAAATTCAATCCTGAGACAAAGTCGGTCGAAACTGGACCCAGCTATCGTGGTTCATTATGAATAAATTGACTATATACCGTAGTCATTTATGGTAAATACAGAACCGGTATATAATTATATATTTATGGTACATAGTCAATGCTTTTAATAAATTGTCCTGGCTAAAGGACCAGCCTTTCTCGATAGCAACAACTATCATGTCATCGTCATCCACTCAGTAACAACAACCATCATGTCATCCTTTCAACAGTCATCCTTCACTCATAGTACGCCCTGGTGTGGTGGCGTCCTTGTATCAAAATATAAAATATACATCAAACATACTCTGAATACGTTTATTATTCTACATCTACATGACACATTATCAAAGTGCCTGAGCATTGCATCTTGATTGTTATTCCATTGGCCAGCTCATTGTTGGTAAGTACCCACATACGGGCATTCCGTAGTAGAATAAATTTTGTTGAATTTGCGTGTTTCGATTTAGCAGTTGTCTAATAGATAACGCATCTACTCAAATATGTTAACATTGCCGCACATTAGGGCTTATCTACTGTTTAAGCAGTGTGTGAACAAGATTCCTGGCTTCTGGCATACATTAGGCTGGTCCGGCTGCTAGCTGCGACTTGATGCGTGGGTCTATCGGTTGCGATTTTTCCCGCGAGCCTACGCGACTACCGACTTTGTCACGTTTGCAACAAGAGTTAGAAAAGACAGAGTAACTGCCTTCCACACTCAATGGTTGACTGTTTATCTCAAGGCTGTGTAGATGGACAAACAATATACCTATGTACTCCGGTATAGCAACGACAGTCTGCAGTATCGTTTGACTTTAACAAGTACGTAGTTAGAAAGGTGCTCTCCACACTTACACTAACTGGAATATAAGGACACGAGAACGTGTAACAAACCTTAAATGAACAAATATAATGCGCGGTGTTGCCGAGGGTCCCGAATATGTAAAAATCTATTATTAAACCTCCGATAATTATCTTCACAAACATAGTTACAATAAGTTACCATACTGTAATCTAAACACTTACCCTCCGTGTGATGATATATCCTCGTGATATTCTGCTGTGTGACAGTAATATCAACAACTGCATTACTAATAAGTTCAAAGTAATTTTAGGAAGTATAATAGTTGATGAAAAAAGGAAATATGCATAAATGGTTGGTAACCATTTATCTTATAAATTCTGAACTTAAATTTAGGTGCAAAAAATTTAGTATACAACTAATTAATTAAATTAAATTAATTCGGTAGTTAAAACTGAACTCGACAAAGCTGTCAAGCTAGGGGAAGTATTGCTGGTAGAAAAAAGCTTTGTAAGACCAATTGAATTTAAAGGAAACTGAACTAATGCATATCAAGATAAACTAGAGTTTAAGGGACCAAGAGAAATAAAAGAAAATTGTAGGGCTGGAATGTGGTGGTTGGGGATTGGGCTTCCTTAGGGTACCCGCATAGTGAGGAGGTAGAGGTAGAGGTTGCGGTACTTCGATGTATCACAAATACATTGTATGTTATGGGCCCGCGCATAATAAAGAGGTCGAGGTAGAGGTGTACCTAGCGGTTTACCAGGAGGTCCCGCGCGACCGCTTTTGAAGACAAACTACATAGTTTGTCTTTTCGAGCGGTCTATCGCGCGGTGCTTCTCTGTGATTGGCCCGTTTGGCCATGGGGCTCATGCAACATGAAGTTTGCAGAGTAGTTTTTAAAGTTTCCAGCTTTAGTGACACGTTGGCTCAAATGTATGAAAATGTTTATGTGACATCCTCATGTACTCCTGAAACTTGTCTGCAACTCATGTATCCCTTTTGTTGCAAAAACAGATGGTGATATTCTCCCAAATCTTGGCGTAGTTGATTTATGGGATGAGCGGTGAATTTTCGATTACTTTACGTACCGATCAGCCACCACTTACATGCTGACGACTTGTCGTCACTGTTATCACTACTGTCACTTAACATTGTAAACAGAATAATCAGACAACCTTTCTGCTTGCAACACAGTGAAAAATAGACTGGCCCTAAAGGCGTTGAAAAGCGGTAAATCTCCTCAACATTCAAGGCTCCCTCTACCTCTACCTCTACCTCTACCTCTACCCCTAACTCCACCTCTACCTCTACCTCCACCTCTACCTCTACCCCTAACTCCACCTCTACCTCTACCTCCACCTCTACCTCTACCTCCACCTCTACCTCTACCCCTAACTCCACCTCTACCTCTACCCCTAACTCCACCTCTACCTCTACCCCTAACTCCACCTCTACCTCTACCCCTAACTCCACCTCTACCTCTACCTCCACCTCTACCTCTACCCCTAACTCCACCTCTACCTCTACCTCCACCTCTACCTCTACCCCTAACTCCACCTCTACCTCTACCTCCACCTCTACCTCTACCTCCACCTCTACCTCTACCCCTAACTCCACCTCTACCTCTACCCCTAACTCCACCTCTACCTCTACCCCTAACTCCACCTCTACCTCTACCCCTAACTCCACCTCTACCTCTACCTCCACCTCTACCTCTACCCCTAACTCCACCTCTACCTCTACCTCCACCTCTACCTCTACCCCTAACTCCACCTCTACCTCTACCCCTAACTCCACCTCTACCTCTACCCCTAACTCCACCTCTACCTCTACCCCTAACTCCACCTCTACCTCTACCTCCACCTCTACCTCTACCCCTAACTCCACCTCTACCTCTACCTCCACCTCTACCTCTACCTCTACCTCCACCTCTACCTCTACCTCCACCTCTACCTCTACCCCTAACTCCACCTCTACCTCTACCCCTAACTCCACCTCTACCTCTACCCCTAACTCCACCTCTACCCCTACCCCTAACTCCACCTCTACCTCTACCTCCACCTCTACCTCTACCCCTAACTCCACCTCTACCTCTACCTCCACCTCTACCTCTACCCCTAACTCCACCTCTACCTCTACCCCTAACTCCACCTCTACCTCTACCCCTAACTCCACCTCTACCCCTACCCCTAACTCCACCTCTACCTCTACCTCCACCTCTACCTCTACCCCTAACTCCACCTCTACCTCTACCTCCACCTCTACCTCTACCCCTAACTCCACCTCTACCTCTACCCCTAACTCCACCTCTACTTCTACCTCCACCTCTACCTCTACCCCTAACTCCACCTCTACCTCTACCCCTAACTCCACCTCTACCTCTACCTCCACCTCTACCTCTACCCCTAACTCCACCTCTACCTCTACCTCCACCTCTACCTCTACCCCTAACTCCACCTCTACCTCTACCTCCACCTCTACCTCTACCCCTAACTCCACCTCTACCTCTACCCCTAACACCACCTCTACCTCTACCTCTACCTCCACCTCTACCTCAACCTCCTCTAAGTCTCAAAGAAATTTGAAAATAAGGGAAGCAAAACAAAGGTTCCAGGACGACCTGCCGCTGTCAGTCTACTGTTAGCACTCATATGCTACTGATAATTTTTTAGCCATTTTATGTGAGTAAAATTGATTTACTGTTAAGAATCATAAGGTGAAGTTGCAAGGCTTTTTTCTGAATTCCAACCACGGAGGAGGATATCGCTGTTATCCAATTTTTTATAGGAGATTTGTCAATGCTGATTTAAATATACGAACTGTAGTCGAAACTTATATCTCTTATATCCATCCTGACATCGATACATAACTACTTCTCCGGTTTGTACGACTAAGGAAACACCAATTTTCCAGCAATGCAAAAAATCCACCACACAGGGACATTGTTTGTTTTATGTTTTGGCCAGATTGCAGCGTCTTGGAAACGAAGTCGGATCACAAGTTGACTTCTTCAACGAACAGTTGTCTTCCTTCAGAAGTAAATCCTCTAACATTATCTTTGTTATGCCTGTTTTGTAGCTGATGTATGTTTGTTTTGTTTCTAAATCTCTTTCATTCTTGTTATTCTTTCATAGATTTATTGGCGATTGTTGTTTTTTTTCACGTAGAACTTATTGTCATCATAGTTTATTTGTTGTTAAATCTTGAGGAGATATTTGTTGTTGTTACTTTCAAAATCTATATGCTTTTTCTGAAGTCCAAATTAATATTACATATTTTTTGTTATTATCTGTACAATACATTGTTAGTGTTATTATCTGTTATTTTTGTTACGTTGGTGTCTTGTTGTTATTATTTTTTGTTGCAATGCTGCTTTGTTTCAAGGTCATTATGTAGCTTATCTTGTTATTTTTATCTTTTCATTCTGCTCGTGTACTTAAAACACATATATTTTGTAAATGGTGTATCCGTTGATATGAATAAATAAATAAATAAATGTCGTTGAGATTGACAACGCTCTATATTATACCAAATTTAACTGTTCTAATTAATATTTATAACCAAACAAAAGTTTGAATAAATTATATATTCCTATGTAATGTTCTACTAAATATCGAATTAAGTTTCATAACGTGTGATGAAGTTTGATTGGTTAGGTATGGAGAAGAAGGTAATGACGGTAAGAAAGACTCCTGTTTGCAATCAAATCCTTTTAAATGAAATACATTGATTTGGATAGTCAATAATTTTATTGACGTAAGTGACCTTAATACTTGGTTGGGATAATGCACATTTCCTAGTCAAATGTTTATATAGACTATTTTTAGTCTATGTTTCAACAGAATAAGACATTAATTAGGTAATTAAATAGGTAAACTGTGAAAGCGTCTCTCCTTCATTTATCAGTAATATAACTAGAGGTTAAAAGAAAAAACCATCGAGTGTAACTAATATTATACATTATTCACTCGATGTCATCAAATGAAAATAGTCGCCCTAAATTCATCGGCTCCCTTTATACTACACATAAACCATGTTAACAAACCAATCTGAAGACAAATCTTATAATGGAGTACGATGTTTTCAAACGTTCTTTAAACAATCTATGGTCTGCATACTAATCATCTGGTGCGGACAAGGATTAAGACTATTACTTTTGCGCTGTTCGTAATGATGAGCGATTGATAAATATGTATTGTTTATTCCATGAAGAGGCAACTTTAGAAGTTGGTTGTTGTTTTAATATTGTATCTGGCAAATTGTTCCGATACATCATTTGTAATTATACAGTCATAATTAAAGAAAATTTATGGATCGTTTGTTCGTAACTTGCCATATTGACATGATATTGTAACCGCTGACAGTTTATTCCCTTAGTTGCATTCAAAACAAAAACAAATTACATCTTCTCGACTTTGCCCCTGCGCAAACTCTTAAGTTGTCTACACATTTCATTGAATTGCCAATTGAGGTTGAGACACTACAGAGCGCATTTTTACCCTGAGTGGAGGATGAGCTTAGAATGGAGTGAGATGCTTGACTAGTAGCTTTGATATGACTAAGACCAGCTGATACATTAACCAGGACCATGAATTAATAGGACATTAATAGGACATTAATAGGACAATGATCAATGATAACAGATCCAGATTCGAACCAAGAAAATATGTTTGCCTTATCTTAGGATCGAACCAGCTACCAGGCGAGTACACCCACTCAGTTACCTGGGTATGTGTTGATAGTTAAGTTCAAAGCCCTTAAACATACTGTAAACACCTCGGCAATAATTCTGCTTCCATTTTAGAACAGTTTGGCATAATTGAGCCCTACCGCCAGTCAGCAGTTGAGGCCAGTACAGTAGTAGAGATACATTTTAGTAATCTGTATGTGATTACCGTGGTCGGGGGTGGGGGGTAGGAGGGATCAGCGAGGTCTGTGATTGGTCCACGGTCCCCTCCACGGCGTTGGTCGCGGGCCGCGGTCGCGGGTCCGTTATCAGTATCAGTGCGGACTGCGACTGTGGTGACCTGTAACCTTTAGTCATGACTGGTGACTAGGGATTAGGCAAGTGCCGGTACCGAGGGTGTAGTGACGATTGTGGAACTAATGAGTTGTTGATCACCCCGCGTGACAAGACCATGACTGACTTTCAAGAGGTGAATTACCCAAAGATAACCTAATAGTTTTAACAAAGAATTAAGCAACTACTTCTAAACACATTTATTAAGATGTAGGCGTAGTTAGGTAAAACAAAATTGACCAAACAAACTCTAACTTTAGGTTTGGTTTAAGACAAATAAGTTGTCATGGGAAGTTTTAATACGAGTCGATATCATTTACATCTAGCGCATTAAAATTTACTACCACATGATTTGTACGGCATTTCCATTTACAGTAAATAGTTGCTGGTTTCAAAGGATGGGTGGCACTAATATTAATTTAACAGGTTATTTAGGACAAAGGAAAGCTATTCGTGTTTCATTGGTCATATCGATTTTATCGGTTTGTTCTTAGTTATTGGCTTTTTGGGTAAAACAGGTGTTCTCATGTTTAATATATGTGCTGTAGAGACTTATTTTACACTATAAATACATGCGAGCAGCTTTAATAGATAGTTTTCATCACCTACATCAGATTTTAACAACAAAAAAGATAATAGCATCGATATTATTAATAGCATATGAACACCAGTGTATTGAACCGGCAAATAGCCATGAAGAACCGTCATCGGTAGACAAAGTACAAGTTTTACAAAGTAGTTGTAAAATAATTAATACACGCGTTTTTACTCGCCTAGTGTATATTGATGCCGGGGTACCAGGGCTGTTTAGCTATTGAAACAGTCGTGCTTAGTTTGAAATTTTGTAACATGTTAACACGTAAGCGATATGAGAAATCGCGCAAAAATGTGTAGAAAATCAACGTGATGGTATATGGTGTATACAAAACAGTAACTAACATGCGCTAAGTGCTTATCAGAGAAACATTAACCGACTATGGTAAATAATATTACTATGGAAGATAGTTTAAAAGGGTCATATCCTAATAAATATAAATTGGGAAAAGACGAGATATTTTAATACCTCTCCATATTATGTTTGTGTTTTATCATGTTTGATTCATAGTTCTTATTTAGTTTAACTCTGATCGATTACTAGTTAAAATGATCAATAGATTTTCCGATAAATGTTTAGTTAACCTTTATGTATAATGTACAGGCGTAAACAGGGTTAATTATGTACTGCTAATACTTAGGAAACCCGGTACCAGAGAAATGTATAGATTCTGTAAAATATTAAATATTAGCCTATAACGATTTATCGGACTTAAAATATGATCAATAGTTTGGTAAAACAGATTCAACTCTAAGAATTCAAGCGACCTCGTACATGCAATTGTAATCTGTAGTCAATATCTTTGCCTCTGCCAGGAAAATAATTATACAAATAAAATCGAGTACCACTCTAAGCACCCTAAGCTGTTCTTGATCAGTGGGCTAAAATAAATGGTCTTGGTAAAAGAGACCCTGGTCTTAGTAACAAAACGGGTCACCAGATTCGTATCCCCCTGGAATTTCACCCCCAGAGAAGAGTTGACTTCCCTATGACAAATTCTATATCTGGTTAGGGGATACAATTCCGAGGGCAAAATTCGGGGTTCAAAATTCCGGAGGCGAAATTGCAGCCCGTACACTCTAGATTTAACAATTTGATTTGTCCTGATTAAATTCACAGCCATGAAACGATACGTTTAATTCCACCTTAAATTTATTCAACTCGTGTTGTGCAACTCAAAAGTTCGTGGGCAGAATTTCACCCCCATGGCTGTGACCTGAGATTTGCTCTGGGCTTAAAATACAACTACACAAGGCATTTAACACCATTCTACACTCCTGAGAAATGTTCGGAGTGTAGATGTTCAAAGTGAAATGTTCAGAATCTAACTCTCCTTAAGAGTGATGTTTTGAGAATGTTTGTATATTAAGTACCTACCGTTCACCCCCCTTATTAGCGTGTTGAATTAAAGCGTGAGTATAAGAAGAGTGTAGGATCATATGTTGTTAAAGTATAATTAAAACTCCTTGAGGACAACGATTTCGTTGTAGATGAATTATTGAATGAAAATGCTTATTTAGAAATTTAGGACCCCGTTGGTCCCTCCTTACAATTAACTCCATAAATAAAAAAATATCGACAAATGCATTATTTATTAAATAATAATAACAGTAAACGGTAACTAAAAAATTCCATGATTAAATCTTACCAAAAGACAGTTTGTATAAACTAATCACAATTTACATGGAAGTAGGTTATGCAATAAAATGCTTAACTGTTTAAAATTCCATGTAAGCAAATAATTTTTTACCAAATCATTATATAAAATGAAAAAAACACCAAATTTGTTTAACTGCAAAGTAGTCATGTAACTGATTCAGGGCCTCACAATTGTGTTTATTGTACGTGTGTGTATGGTTGATCAATTTTGTATGTTGTTCCAGAACTGGTCCGCGACGAAAATGGTAGTATGCCTTTTAGTTATCCAAACTATATCATTGTAACTTTAACTCTTTATGATCTTCAATTCTGTACATTCTAGAACTTCTTATAGCCACATTTCCTATTGATTTGTGTTGTAGGTCTGAGATGTTTACTGTAATTATT